GCCGAGACTTTCTGGCCCATGGCCGTCAGCACCACCGTGGGGTTCACAGAGTTCACCCGGATCTGCAGCCGGTATGGGGGTCGTCTGGCCGGTAAGGGCTCTGCCCCACAGCCTCACCGCCCAGGACCGAGCCCTGGCCACCCCCAGCACCCACCTTGTGTGGCCCGAGCTCCAAGGCCATGGTCTTGGTCAGCATGGTCATGGCACCCTTTGTGGAACCTGCGGGGCAGCAGTGAGGACCCGTGGGGAGCCAGTGTCGGAGAGAGCCCGCCTCCAGCCAGTGGCCCGTGTGGGGTGGGGGTGCACGGGGACTCACTGTAAGTAGCCAGGTTGGGAAAGGTGACCTGGGACACCATGCTGGACACATTGACAATGGAGCCGGGCACTCCACGGGCCATCATGCCACGGACCACAATCTGGAAGCCAAGAGGGACCCACAGCTGACCCCACCCTGCCCTGCAGCCAATCAGCGAGGGGCCACACCTCCCGTGCCTCACCTGGGACACCTGGAGTACAGAACGCAGGTTGACGTGGAACGACCTGGCAGGAGAGAGGGACTGTGGCCTCCTCTGCCCTCCCTCACAGCCCTCGCTGGCCTGGCTGTCCCCCTTCCCACCTGTCGAAGACCTCTTTGGTGACCTCCAGGAAAGGCTGCAGCAGGGCCACGGCGGCGTTGTTCACCAGCAGGTCCACGGGACCCACGCCGCCCAGCGCTTGCTCTGTGGCCTCCCAGTCGCCCAGGTCCACGCACACAGCCTCCACCCCGGGGCACTGCGGAGACAGGGAGTGCTGGCCAGGCCGTCTGGGAGGCTCAGAAGATGCCCTGAGGTGTGGGCAGGCCCGGGCTGCTGCCTCACCTCTGTGGAGAGGCTGACCAGGTCCGCGTGGGTGCGGCTCACGGCCACCACTCTGGCCCCAGAGCCATGTAGGGCCTTCGCGGTTTCCCGCCCGATCCCTGTGGGGTGACACTTGGTGGTAGAGGACTCCACACGTTGGGACCAAGCTGGGACCCGGAGAGCTCTCCCCTCTGGGGGGTCTTTCGTGGACCGGCCGGGAGGGGCTGGTGTTGGTCCCAGAGGGACTCTGGCCAGGTGGTGTAGGGTGCCTTGGGCCCAGGTCTTGGGGGACAGGGCGGATGTCCCTGGGCAGGCTCTGCAGGCAGGTGGGGACTCGCAGCCCTGCTGCAGGCGTGTGGCCACCTGGCCCTTCCACTAGCCCTCTGCAGCCTCCCCACCCCAGCTGACACCCACCTTTCCCTGCTCCTGTCACCAGGGCCCGAAGGCCACTGAAGTTCAGCTGCATGCTGCCACCTCTCAGCTTTGGCCCTTCCAGGGAGAGGAGGCAAGGTTTATAGACCTCATGGCAGGAGGGCGGGGCAGGGCGGCATGGGAACGGGCAAGCCTTGCGGGTACAGGGAAGAGCTGTCATTCCCAAGCCCTGGAAAGGCAGCCCTCCCCCCACTCCGATGTGCCAGCAAAAAGCTATGTGTTGGGCTTTGGGGAGGAGAGACAAGCTCTGTGCAGGCATGCGTGTGCATGGGGCGGGCAGACTGTGTGCGCGTTCCTTTTTCTTACCTGGACAGAAACATTATCCTGTAGCATTGTTGTTGTGGGAATTTTTATGAGATTTTTGCTATAGGGCAGGAAATCACCTCTCTGGGGGACGCCACACTGCACTCCTTCCTCCATCCTCCCCTCGGGGTATTGGGCACACATGCAAAGCACCCAGGGGAGCTCTAAGTCACCAGGTCTGGGACACGAACCGCGGTCGGCCATGTGGAGTCCAGCGACGTGGCTGTTAGGTTTGATGTGGGATCGGAGGCCTCAGAATGAAAATACCAGAGTCAGGCCTTACAGTTTAATAAAGCAATACAATTTATTCTGCGAAAAGCTCTCGGGTGAGGTCCCTCAGTCTGGCCGAGGGAGTCACGCCCAGGGTGGGTGCTGCTCGATCTTAAAGGGCCTTCGTCCGATAGGTCGTCTAGCCACTGAAGGTGGCTCTTCTGTTCAACTTTGCGGGTGCGCCAGATGCTGAAGGTGGGAAAGGGCGCTGGTGATGGCGGGCCGAGTGCGCGCCACAGGAAAGCGGTGTCGGCGTGTTTCTGCCATGTTTCCTTACCTCCCCCAGGCCCTCCAGTAACCATTACGCCATCTGCTGGTCCTGCAACACCATTTTTACTGGGAGAGGGACCCGGTGTTAATCAGAACCTGGTCCAGCCTGTCTCAGAAGAGCAGCTGGGCCCCTGGGCATGGCACAGGCGTGGCCACAGCCTCGCTGCTTTCTGGTGGCCTGGGGCCCTGGTATGCTCTGCTGCCCAGTGCTGGGGCTAGGGCACCAAAGGGCCAGCAGCTGTGGCCTCTTCCTGGGCTGGCTTCCTGTGGTGGCCATGGCGCACCTGACCCCAGTCTACTCTGTCTGGTGTGTGGACCACTGCAGCCATCAGAGTGCCTTGCCGGGTCCCCGCCGGGTGCTCTCACCTGCCCCTAGAGTGTAGGGGTAGCCGGGATCTGAGCAAACACGATGGTGATCTTCAGACACATGCAGAAACGCTTCTACGGGCTGTCGTTTGCAAGGCTGAAAGAAACGCCATTCATAGCATCGGTTAAGGAGGCCGCCTGTGCCCGTGAGAAAAGGCCGAGGAGCCGAGAGGGAACTCACAGCTACATGCCAGGGTTTCCCTTCCTCAGCCGGGTGACGTCTGGAAACAGGCGCTGCCCTCTGCTTCCCTTCCCCTGTTCTGCCCTTTGAAAGAATAAACAGGGAAACTGCTTGGAGCGAGGCTGCCTCCACCAGAGTGGGGGCCACCCAAGCCCACACCCGATCCCCGCTTTTCCCTACTTGTGTGTCTTTGTGCTTATTTTTCTGTTTATTCTCTCGCCCACGGCCACCCCACTCAGGGTGCGCCTGCGGCCATGCAGGTCACACACTGGGCAACTGGAGACCCTGGCCCCGCATGGCTGCCCTGAGATGTGATTCTTGCTGGGGTGGGGCCTTTGTCCCCAGCACCCCGCCTCCCGCACTGAGAACCCGTCTTGTTGCAGGCCAATCAGCCTTTTTCGGGGAGTGGGGAGGGCAGTCGGCTCCAGGCATTTTGCCGGTGCCCGTGTGGTTGAGGGTGTGTAATGCAGGGGTCACCCAGGGTCAGGGTGAGTTGGGGCTGCCTTTCCAGGTGTGGCCGCCACCACCTCCTGCGGACTCACTGGACCCCCGTCGCGACCCCAGGAGGTGCAGCACCAGACTGGGGGCTCTGCCTGTCCGAGTCTGCCCCGATGCCTGCCAGCCAGCTGGGCTCATCCTTAAGGCCTTAGGAGGACTGGTGGGGGACCGTGCTGTCACACGCGCAGGCGGCCCTGAGGGCCTTCCCTCAGGAGCTGGGCCCCTCTTCTCAGGAGTGTGCTCCCTGTGAGAGAGTGCGAGAGTACCTCGTTACCGTGTACCTCACAGTACCTCGGTACTTCTCAGCACCTCGCAGTACCTCAGTACCTCGCAGCACCTCGCAGTACCTCAGCACCTTACAATACCTCGCAGTACCTCAGTACCTCGCAGCACCTCGCAGTACCTCAGCACCTTACAATACCTCGCAGTACTGAGGTACTGCAGTACCTCGCGGTACCTCAGTACCGCAGTGCCCCACAGTACCTCGGTACTTCTCAGAACCTCACAGTACCTCGGTACCTCCTATCTCACAGTACCTCAGCACCTTACAATACCTCGCAGTACTGAGGTACTGCGGTACCTCGCGGTATCTCAGTACTGCAGTGCCCCACAGTACCTCGGTACTTCTCAGAACCTCACAGTACCTCGGTACCTCCTATCTCACAGTACCTCAGTACCTTGCAGTACCTCGCGGTATCTCAGTACCACAGTGCCCCACAGTACCTCGGTACCTCTCAGAACCTCACAGTACCTCAGTACCTTACAATACCTCGCAGTACCTCAGTACCGCAGTGCCCCACAGTACCTCGGTACTTCTCAGAACCTCACAGTACCTCAGTACCTCCTATCTCACAGTACCTCAGTACCTTGCAGTACCTCGCAGTACCTCAGCACCTTACAATGCCTCACAGTACCTCAGTACCGCAGTACCTCACAGTACCTCAGTCTCACAGTACCTCAGTACCTCCTATCTCTTCTCAGAACCTCACAGTACCTCGGTACCTCCTATCTCACAGTACCTCAGTACCTTACAATACCTCACAGTACCTCAGTACCTTGCAGTACCTCGCGGTATCTCAGTACCGCAGTGCCTCACAGTACCTCGCAGTACCTCAGTACCTCACAGTACCTTGCAGTACTTCAGTACCTCATACCTCACAGTACCTTGGTACCTCTCAGAACCTCACAGTACCTCATAGTACCTCAGTACTGCAGTGCCTCGCAGTACCCCAGTACCTCAGTACCTCATACCTCACAGTACCTAGGTACCTCTCAGAACCTCACAGAACCTCACAGTACCTCACAGTGCCTCAGCACCACAGTACCTCACAGTACCCGAGTACCTCAGCACCACAGTACCTCACAGTGCCTCAGTAGGGTTTTGATGCCCCCCAGCCACAGCCAGCTCTAGGTCCTGAGCAAGTGTGTGCCCCACATACTCAGGGAGATCTTGGGGTGTGAACCCAGAGCCTTCCGTGTGGGTCAGACTTGCAGAGCATCGCAGTTCGCTGCTGCACCTCCACCCCTTCCTGCTCATTCCGGTTTGGAAAGTGTGGGGGAGAGAAGGGCTCTGGAGGGGACGGTCCAGTGCCAAACTGAGAACCAGCCATGAGTGAGGGAGCGGGCACACCGCACACGGCCGTGTCTGCAGGGCAGCCGTGCACTTTGGGGCTCAGTTCTCCCCTTCACGTAGCCCAGCCTGTGCGGGCCCAAGTGCAGACGCATGACAGGAGCCGCGTGACCAACTGCACGTCCAGACCCCTGGGCCCTCTGAGCACGGCCAAGACCCTCAAGAGCTGAGGGATGAGGGCCCTGTTGAGGGTGCCCCCGCTAACCTGCAATAGATTTGAGTAATAAGAGGAAGAAGCAAGCTAGGGGCCAGCACGTTGTGGGGGTTAAGGTGCTGGACTCCCCTGCCGGGGTCCAGCCTCGGCGTGGGTGGGTTATCTCGACGAAGGCGGCGAAGGTGAACAGAAGACAGAGGCCTCGATGCCTTTCATGCACGTCCTATGCCAGACACCCTCTCCGAAGAGTGACAACTGCTAGGAATTATCGTGCCTTTTTATTGAGAATGTGTTACATACAAGTAAATGGGAGAGGGGCTAGTGTTTCAATTAACAACTCAAAGTTTTTAACAATAAAGAACAGAGATTCTATTCAGGGGTGGATTAAGGGTGGGTCTAGTGCAGTTCCTATTCAGGGGTGGATTAAGGGTGGGTCTCCATGGAATGCAGTTTCGGGAAAGCGGTTTCGGAAAGCAGAGATGATTATCAGCTGATGCGGCGCAGCAGCCATCTTGTGATTACTGGGAATGGTGCTGAGAAAAGAAAATCTCAAGAATAGATATTAGTTTTTATGGATCTTAATAAAGAATGATACTTATACAGTTTCGTAGGGATCTAAAACTTAATTTGAGGAATCCTAATATATTTATCTATTTCACTTGGAGAGGGCAGAGGTGTCCTGGGCCAGTTTTGGCCTAATCCTATTTTA